TAAAAAAAGAGAGAACATAAAAGCAAAAGACGATTGAGTCTGCTCTAGATTAAAAAAAGACATGATGATTTCCATGCACATTTTAAAAAGGAAAGGCCAAGGTCTCAAAGTAGCAAGAACTGCTCCAGCATCACCAGACACGGGTTCTCCGGAAGGCAGTCAGAAGGACTAAAGGGGAAACTGCTGCATACTCCTCTGTTTGAAAAAGGTGGTAGTGAAAGATGGATGCACACGCTTACCCACCCGCACACCTCTGCACACACACACACCCACCCACAGGGCGGCATGCTATGCATTTGAGAAAGAGAAATTATCTTCCTCTTGGGGTTTGCGGATCCAGCTGCCATAGCCCATCTCTTCTAGTGCTTTGAAGAAGTACTGCTTGGCTTCTTGGTATGCCGTGGCTGCCTCCTTAGCATCTGAGTACACAGAGAGGGTCTGCAGGTCTTTGCAGTTGTTCTTGGCACATAACTGCTGGAACAGGGCAAACATTTTCCTCTTGGACACACGAGACGCCTCCAGCTTCGGTCTGAGAAACAAGACAAAGGCAGTGAGGAAAGCCCTCAGGGGAGGACACAAAAAGCAGCAAGTAGGAGCAGGTGACACAGGGAACAACCCTGCCACCAGTGGCCTGTGAGGTCTCTTGGCTTACTGGGGCTCTGCTGTGGGGTCAGGGCTGTGAAGTATTTTGTTTTGCTTGAAGAGTGCCCACTTCAGTTAAGAATTGCTCTCTCCAAACCTCCCCACACATAAGGTGCTGTCACAGCGCAGAGCGTGTTAGTACCTTCAGAACTGACCCTCCCCTCCCCAAATAGAAAAAGCAGTGTCAGGAAAGGCTCTTCTTACCCATCTACTTTTCCTTTTGTGCCATCCAAAACTTCAACTTCACTTTCATCAGCAAGACACCAATTCACTGAAGACTCCTTGGTCTTGCCTGTCTGCCTGGCAGAGTCATACACGCTGACTCTCCCAACCTGCATCATCAGAGATAAGAGGGTTTCTTAACACCAGTCCTGCTGCGTAAGCTCGCACTGTAAGGGGAGCCTCTTGTCAGGGCCTGGGCATACTGTATCAGCTACTATGCGCTTGCCTGTGGCCAAGCCTAGCGTTCGTTTTCCCAGATACTCAGGCTTTGCACACGTTAAAATCTCCACTACACCATGCTTAAGGTCCCCTGCTGCTGCTCCTTCAGAAAGGGGGTCACTCTAGGTCTGATCTTATACGGAACATATGAAATCTGAGATGTTTCTATCCCTGGCTGACAAGGGTCAAGCTCATCCCAAACACCCGAGAGCAGCAAGCACTAAGTTTGTCCTTTCTGAAATAAAGTACTAAACTGAAGGCAAAGGGGGCACAGGGACAACCTTGGTCTCTTTGTTCCCAGACCTAGCCATTGCCAGGAACCCACAGATACTGTGGGATGATAAAAGGAGGCAGGTTTACTGGCCGTTAACCTTCTGACCCTGCTGGAGAGTTGTCTGGAAGGTGACACTCCTACAGAATACCTCAGGGGAGTCTGAGCCCATCGTTAGAGGTGGAAGAGGGGATGGAAACATGAAGAGGTGCCAAGGCCACAGTACCTCAGGATGGTTAATGTGATACGGAGCCTGGAGCTTTGTCTTCAACGTGTTCCCATCTCTTGCCATGCGACAGCAGATTGCACGTGTCAAATGACCCTGACTGTACAAGTAGCCTGGGAAGACATACACGAAGGCATTAGGAAACAAAAGACCGCACTGGTAATGGACAGGACAGAACCTGAGAACTGCAGCCCTTTTCACAAGCTCCAGAAAACCAGTAGCCACGTGGAACAGAAACAGCAACTTTCTCATTGCTAGATGTCACCTAGATGTGAAAGATGAAGTTTACAGATGGCAACATTTATCACCAGATATATACAGACAACTTTTTTGTCTCACCCTCTACATCAGATGTCTCCCCTAAAATCAGGAACCCTCAAGAAAACACCCACTCCACCCATTGTGTGAAATCCACAAACTCCCATTTCACTTCAAAACAGCACAACTCTACCAAGAGCAACGTTTCCGTCTGTCACGCCTATGGCCTCCACAAATAAGCTTCTTTTCCATTCCTGCAGGAGGGAGGTTATTTGTTCCTACAGCCCAGTTCTAAAGGAGCAGGGCAGCACAGCTATCCCAGCCCAGGAAAGACTGTGGGTCTCATACCAAGCGTAACAGAGCTGAGGTAAACTGGCTCTATGAAATGTGATAGCAATGCCCCTTGCAAGCCGAGTATATTCCAGCGTAAGATTTTGTCACTGCAGGACATGGTGCGCAACCTCTCCCCATGCTGGATCCCATCCCACGTTGGCACAATGTCACTCGATTCCACAGGAATGGTACCTTCCCCTGCATGAGAGAAAAAGAAAGCTTTTCTGTGAAGAGTCAGATACACAATAAATCTCAAAATGCCATCACCTAGGGCCCAAGAAACTAACTTGCATGCCTTCAGGACAGAACGGGCACAGAATGACCTCTGGAGTCAGTCCAGTCACCAGGTTCTGGGATCATTTTAGTACCACATAAAAAAAGGGAACTCAATTCTGATTAGAGACAGGTCATTTTTCACACGGCTGAAACAAATTTAAATTGTGCTTGAAAGGGAGGTCAGAGCAACATCAGCTTGTTACAAACTTGTGCTGTACTCTTGCCAACATGGCAGTCACATAGGAAGAACGGGGAAGGAAAGAAGAGGTTCCCTCTAAAGCCATCTTGTCCCTTTTACCCCTTCCGCTTCCTGCATGTTTCAAATCCCAGGACAGCATCACAGAGAGCTGGGAAAAGATACTCCGGAGCTCCCTTGCCGAGAAAGGTTCAGATCAGAGGATGAGAGTTACCCCACCACATAGGGAGTAAACGCACTAACCATTCTCCACCTTCGTGCGCAGCTTGCCTTGTTTGGGGTTCTCAAAGAGAGGCTGATGTTGGGCTTCCCCTATCGTGCTTGCCTGATCGCTGCAGGATTTATCAAAAAGTGCCCCGTCTCCACAAGGTGCCGTGCTAGGAAACAAAGAAATTCCCCAAGTTAGTTAAAAAAAAACAACCAAAAAACAAAAAAAAACCCCACCCCACAGACAGCACCCAAGACCAGAGTGCAACAGTGCCCACTTATGTCTGCAGCACTGGCCTCTCATGCAAGCTAAATTTGCTATTAAAGCCTGCCCTTGTCTGGGCTCTTCCCAGCACAGATCACTGTTCTCCAGCAGCGCTTTGTATACAGCTGTCAGAATTGCAAGGTAGTCTGCTTGCCAGAACGGACGCACCAGGAGGATTAGGCCATATACAGACAAGGAAGGCAGGCTGTGATCTGACTCCTTGGAGAGAATCACAGAGTCAGAAGACAGGGGTGCTGCTCACACTGGTCATTCCTCCTGGACCAGACCACAAGCCTGTACAAACCTGACATAGAGATGAAAGGTAATATTGCTCTTTATTCTGAGTCTCTTCTCTCCTGCTGGCTCAAAAATGCTCTCTTCTGCAGAGGAAGGATGAGATGGGTCATACTTCATCAGCTCGCTATATAGAAACCTGAAAGCAACAACGTAATGTCAAAAGGCTGCCTTGTTCCTCAGACAAGGACTGCCTCAACCCAACCACTGCCTGTGCCCATGACAGGCAGCGCCCCAAGTGCTACCTCTGTCGCACAAAGTCAGGAGCTCTTGGCCCTGACACATGGGAGAGTAAAGTCCAGGAGTCACAAATGAGACTACTTGGAAGCCAGTAAGTAGCATTTGACACTACAGAAAGAGGAACGTAATAAAGTAGATTTCCTGCCATCCAGAGGACAGGCAATAGAAAACAAACATCCTAACTGGTGAGCAGAGGAAGCACTGGGAGGAGAGCAAGGAGCCTGTCTGGCTGCTGTTTGTGCCTATCTGCTCTGAGCGAGAAGATGACTTTAAGGTTGCTAACCTAGCACCTTTAGTCAGCACCAAGTTTGCATTAAGAGTAAACAGTCCCACAGGCAGCTGAAGGCAGATGGTATTATTAGCACAACCACACGATCTGTTTACAATGACTGGGTCTTTTATGGCTGCTTTTTGTTCAGGTACAGCAAAAAAAGCTCGAGGCTTCCAACAAACTGTCAAGGACTAAAGGAAAACTTCAGCTTCACAGAGACTCAAGTAGAGCCTGTGCAAGGACTTACTTTGCAAGGTGAGCTGAAGCTCACCACCCTCCCCTCCAACAGACTCTGCTGCGCCCAAGTGACAGAGAGGCCCAGCAGCCGCGACTGCCAGGATTAACGGACAAGACAACCAGTAAGCAAGAGTGCAATCCTCCAATTTTACAATTTGCTAGGGGCCTGCTCTCAACACCTCCCAGTGCTGAGGAACACAGAGTATAGTGGCAGCAGACAAAGACTTTAAGAAAGCACCTGGCTTTGCTGTTCATAATTAGAAGGGCAGGCACAATAGTAAAGCTAGTCCGACTTTAGCTGATTGTTTCACTTCAATTAAAAGTGCCATGCTAAATGTGTAAAAAGAGAACAGAATTAACAATTATGTGGTCTAGTCTGGGAAAGCCCTTCCCAGCTGATGAAAAAGGATTTCTCACTTATCAATATAAACACATGTGCAATAACTTTTCCTGAATGAAGTCTTCAACACCCAGACCCAGAAGGCCAAACGGTGGGATTTGGCCTGCAGATTTTCAACTTATCAAGCAGTGCTCTACCCTGTTTCGATCTAAGCCCAGCTCCGTCTGAGCCAGTGCTCTACATCCTGGCCAAGCAGCTTCTGCAGGATGCTTTATTTTAAGTACATTAGATGCAGCCCTTGGGCTCTTGGCAAGTCTCCAGTTCAGTACTAATTCAGGCACCATTCAGGCATGGCCCTTTCTCATCAGAAACACCTCTCTTCTTAACAACACATGGACAAACAGTAGCGTTAGAGGATCACAGCCTCTCAAGAAACAGTCATAGCTACATTCCCTTAGAATGGGTCAGCATATGGGGGCAGCACCTCTTGGCAGCCAGCTCTCCCTCTCCTTTGGATTTCTTCTCGTCTCACCTCACAAAGCCTCTTCGAGAAATGATTTCTGCATGACAGTCATTCACTGTTTCCCCCTTTAAGCTCAGCTCTTCTCCTTTCACACAGCGGTTACCTAGAAAACAAGGCGAGCATCACATAATGCCAACACACAGCTCCACTGAAAGAGGGAGGCTTTCAGCTTACCTCAAGCATTACTCCTTTGGGTTCCTGAGCAGCACCCTGACTATTAGAAGATTATTATCCTGATCCAAGGAGTTAGAAAACTAAAGGGACAAAGAGCACACGCTACTCTAGGGTTAGCAGAGATCAGAATTGCCACAGCCTTAGGGCAACGTACCGTCAAAGCCCTAAGTGCTTTTCATCCCACCGCTCTGAGGGGAAGCGGAGGCAGCTATGTCTCTGCTAAGGGGAAGAGGGCTAAGGTATGTAAGGCTGAGAGAAACTGTGGGATCTTGTGCTACATGACATGAAAAAGAATCTATGCTCTGATGCACAGACTAGTGTGTAGCAATGCAAGCAAAGATTAAGGGCAATATAGCTGAAGGCATATTCACTTTGTTCTCTCTCTCTATAACTAGATCACTTGTGACACCATGTGAGCCCTGGGAATGTTTCTCGCCCTCCCTGAAAGAAGCCTACAGCAACAGCCATTTCCTAGTGATAGCTGACAGGGAATCCAGTGGGGGAGTCAAAGTTCAATAGATGCTGGAAAAAGTTGTTCATACCTGTTCCAATGCTAACCACAACTCCCAGGCCTTTGCTTCCTCGTCTCATGATGATGGCAGCCAGGATCTTCCGTCCAAGCAGACTGTGTTGGATGCGAGCAGTGAGGGCATTGAAGCGCTGGTGACTCAGCATAGCCATCTGATCATGTAGGGTACTGCCACTTACAGGGAGCTGAAAGAGGGACACAAAACCAGTACAGCTAAGAGGTCTGAGCCGATCACTGAACAAAGCTGTTCAAGCAGCAGCTGACCTGAAGCACAGCCATCCAAGCAAGAGGGAGGAATGCAGCAAACATGAACCACAGGCAGCAGAAGAGACCGGTGCAGTTTTGGGCTGAATGCATGGACACTCTCCCGTCAAGGGGTGGGTGAAGTGTCTTTCAGATATTTCTGGGAGAAGTCCTGTAGTGCTTTGAGTTCTGCTTTAAGGACATCATTAACAGACAGCAGCAAGCTGTCTTCCTGGCAGCAAGCTAAATGGGCTGAGGAATGGCCTCTTGAGATTGCCAGGGGAAACCCCCCTTGCAAAAAAACCAAGAACAACCCTGCCTGTTTCCAGAGACTCAGCCAGGGAAATCTATTACTGGCTTTGCAGGAATTCCTTCTCTGGCTAGCTGTGAGGAGACTGCACAGTTGCTCCCATCTCAAACGGGCACTTGCCTCTTCTAGCACAGCTCTGACTGACACATCCTCCCTGATGGCTTTTCTATTTACAGCCACAGCTGCTGTGCTCAGCTGTGCAGCCTGGAACACAGCTTTTAAGGGATCACAAAACTCAAAGTGTGATTTAAAGTGGTAAAGATTTGGGACAGCCATCCTGCCAGCACCAGCGCTTTGTTCTTATCTGAGGCACTGTTTTTTGAGTTGACATACAATTTTTAAAGCCGCACCAAGGAATTTGGAAGGGGAGTCACAGAAGACGAGTGACTGTGTTCCTGCTGCACCACAGGAGCATATTTCAGTAGCTCATGGAAGAACCTGGAGATCATTTAGCCCTAAAGCAGATGCCTGCAGGAGGGGAGAATACATGTGTGCCCTGAGGAAACACCTAACCCATTTTCAAGAAAGCATCAGCTTATCTACACCTTTAGAGAACGATGACCTCACAGTTTCAGCCCAGCAGAAACATGCCTCCAAGATTAAAGGCACAGAACAGAAAGAGCTACAAAAGCAGTTCCTGCTTCGGGTGAGGAGCATTTACCTCTGCAATGTTCATCCCTTCCATGCGCTCAGCCTTCTCTGTTTCCCCAATCAGGACTCTGAGGGCTGCATCAGCTGCCTCCTGCTTGCCCTGTTTTTTGCTGTGTGCAGTTACAGCTGGGAACCAACGGCCTCCAACCTTCGCCTGATAGATGAACCTATAAAAATAGCATTGTATCGCTGAGAAACTTAGAAAATTACGGGCTTCAGTCCATTTGTTAAGTTCTCTCAGTGAAGGTAGCTCACTGTCACCTGGACATAAGGCTTGGCAGAAGCAGCAGCCTGGTCTGTTGCCGCCTCTAACTGCATCAGGACTTTGTGTATTCTGCAGGAACCTGCCCTTTCTCCAGAATAACAATGTGAATGTCCTCACAGACAGAGGCAGCTACTTACTTTGGGTCATGGGGAGGTCCTGACTGGTCAATGAGTTTGAACTCTGCAGCAAACCCATTGGTGCGGGAGTATTCCAGCAGGCCACTGACAGGATTGACATTAAGGTATCTGATGAGCTCCCCAACACCCTTGGCTTTCGCTGCCTTGGATTCATCTGGAGCGGCGATCCGTGCTCCACAATTTTCCACGGACGGGTCACCCTGGGACTCCTTGATAGGCTAGAGCAGAGTTAGACAGGAGAAGGCTGTTAAATACTTAGCAGCTGGTAAACAGCTGGCAAGCAGGTAGGAAACCTCTGCTGAGCCAGCACATGATGTTGCGGGGTCATATCCAATGCAATGCAAGATAAAGAGAAAAAAGCAATACACGTGGATCTCAAAGCAGCTCTTCGTACCTGTTCAGGCAAGACATGCAGTCCAGACTCTCCAGAAAGAATCTTCACAGCAACTTCTGCCGCCATCTGCTTTGCTCCCTTCTTGCTGTTGCCTACCACAGCAGGGAAAATCTGGTCACCCATTTTCACACAGTAGCTGAACCTGACAGGACATTACAGCATATGAAGAACGTTAGGCATAGATGCCTCAGTCTGTTTATTATCCCCTTCTCCCAGGTCAAGTTGGACCCGGCCAGGTTTTCTCCTATTTAACATCTATCAGGATGGCCCTGAACAGTCTGAAATTCCAGTCAATACTACCAGGTCAGGTGCAGGCCTAGAACCTGTTCCTGGTTTTGCAGGAGAAACAGCATCCTGCCTCTCTGAAAAGGGCACTATTTTTGGTCCTTCACTGGAAACCAACATGCTGGAGGAGCCATGCCCAGATTTCCTGGAGAAGAGAAGCACTCAGCTAGGTCAGTGACAAGTATAGGAACGTGGGTAGCAAGCTGGACAGCAAGGATATTAAAGAATGGGTTTCTACCCTCTCCAAAGTTTACAACAACATGCCATACTTTGGATCATGAGGTGGGCCTTCCTGAGAGAGTAGCTGGAATTCAATCATGTTTCCCGATTTTTGTCCGTATTCCATTAATATGCTGACAGGGTTCTTCCCAGGAAGCAGGTTCAGATGAGCTGGCACAGATGGCAACTCTGGTTCTGGGTGCAAAGGCTACAGCAAGAAGATGGAGAAATCCAATTTCAGACTAAACATTGGTTGGCCAACCTCAGAAGTAAAGGATACAAGACTTACCAATTCTGATTCAGAATTGTCTGAGGGAAACGGCTCTTCACATTTAATTCTACCATGTCTTCCATCCTCTGCTTCGTTCATCAGGATCTTCATAGCATTAGCTGCTGCCTCCTGCTTAGCCAGTTTTTTGCTACCTGCTTCTGCTGGTGGGAATCGGCGCCCATTAATCACCGCCTGGAACTTAAATCTTTGAAAGAAAAGAAACCAAAAAAGGTTACTCAAGAGACAAAAGCATGATCTGCTCATAGCAAGCGACTACTGCTGCTCTTGAAATTCAAGCGAGAAGGAACAGCTACCTCCCAGGTATGAGAGCAAAGCCAGGTCACACTGTGCAGAAAGAACAAGAATATCTCAAGGATGCCCTGGAAGCTCTGTGCCTGGGCCTCCTTTCAGTGTTTCACAGCTGTTCATGACAGATACAGCAGGTACAGATTTAGCTCCTAAATAACACGATGAGTTCGTCTTGTTCCACAGGTGCCTGAGACATGTAACGGCTGTATGCGAAGAGCAGTTCAGTCAAGTCTCCTGCACAGGGATGAAGAAAGCTTAAAAGCTTGCATTACTGCAGTCTGCGCTGTCCCGTCTGCACCTGGTCGTTTAGGGTCATTTGTTTCTCTGGCAGCATTTCCTCTGACTATCCAGAAGTGCTTGTGAGCTTCCCAGTACATTCGCACTATCTCAGGGAGGTGCTACCTCTACTTAGACTCTTGCTTTTGATGCCTTTGTCTCCCCTGAGCTCCTGGTGAACGCTAAAAAAGATGGCTTCTCTTCCAGCCTCCAGTCCTACGCGGGGGAAACCTGCTTCCAAAGAAAACAAATCAAACTGGATCTGGATTGCTGGGGCTAAATCCATTCAGATCTCCCCTTAGGAGAAAAGCCTGGGCTCTGCCTTTAGAAATTAGGCCAATTTTCCTGTCTAGCGGGTCTATTGACATATTCCAGTGTGGCACATATGGTGCTTTTCATCGTCTCACTGGTGCTCGGGAATAGCCACAATGTGGCGAGGGGAGGCAGGATGCCTACGTGGACCCGCAAGAGTCACGCTACACGCTCTGCTCACACGGAGGCTGCTCTAACCTACTACACCACAGAGATGTTCACAGTGTGCTCGCTCCAAGTAATCTGAGGTGGGCAACTGAGATATCTGCACCTGAGCAGCTTTGTTCTGGGCTCCCTTTTTAACACTTCCAGGGTGAGAGTGTCTTGACTGCATTTAGAGGAGGTGAGAGGTGCCCTAGAAATACCTGCTTCCCTCCATATAATCTACATGAAAGCCAAGCGATTAAGTCAGACAAGCGCGCTACCCGAATAGATGAATCCCACCTTTACTGATCAGAATGAGGTGGGGGGTTGCCAAATCCAGGCCACATGGAATTCAATTTTAGTCCCGCCAATGGAGAGAACTGACAGCACAAAAAAGGTTGTTGCAAGGAATCAACCATTCCTGGGTAGACACACCAGCGTCTGTACGCCCCTCTCAAAGGGAACGCGTTCTTCAGTAACTGACCTGGCATTTTATTTTTATCCCATTCCTCATAGCAGCGATTTCTAAAGTCAAAAGGAGTCACACACAAACAGGCAAAAGCCTATCTGCTTCCTTCCAGTTTGCTGATTCCTTACATCACTGGCCAGAGCAGCATCTGCCCATAAATGCTAACTCCCACTCCTCCGGCCTTACAGTTGTACCCTTTTCTATGACTCTGGCCTGAAGTACGTCCAGCAGTGGGAAGCAGCAGGAAGAAGAGAACAGTGCATTCCCTTTCTGCTCTGCTCTCCAGAGGTGCGATGACTTATTTTCTTTTTATTAACTGCTCTTTCCTGTTTTAGTTAAGGCATGTCTAAACCTTTGGGAATGGAAACCACTGTTTTAGGGAAACCTAGGCTAATCATTGCAAAGCTGAGTAAACATTAACGAGCAGGCCCTTCAGGACAAGGTTGAGTGGATGAAGTTAGTGGAGGTCAGATCAGTTTGAGCAAAAAGACAGCTCAGAAAACTTTTAAAATCTTCTTACCGTGGCTCATGAGAGGGTCCACTCTGCTCCAGCATGGCAAACTCACAGTGTTGGTAAGTGTACTGGGAATATTCAGTAAGGCCACTCACTGGGTTCTTCTCCTGACAAGCAATCAGTTTATCTATGGGTGTACAAGGGAAAGCGGTTTCAAACTGGGCGGTGTAACTCGGGGAAGAGGGAGAATTCATGATACATCTTGACTCATCAGGCTGTTTGTTGATAGCATTCAAGTTATCTGGGATGTCATCTGTGGCCCACTTGCCGTTTTCAGAATTATCATAGTTAATGAAGCTGGAGAATTCGGACGTGCCCTCAGGCAAGGCTGCTTCCGTGTCACTGGCATCACTGTGATCAGTTTGCCCCAATGACTGCTGTCCATTTTCCATACTTTCTTCTGATGTTGTTCCTGCTGGTGAAGCTACCGTCATCTCCTGTGGTTCGGGAGGAATAGAGGAAGGTGGAAAATCTGACTCTGGCGTGGGATCTGCTGTTTTCGTTACTGCATTGGCCTTCAACCTCATCTGCATCCGTTCGCGCTTCCTCTCTGTAAGAGACCATCGTGGGGGGCTTGTGTTCTGTTTGTGGACATCTCCCAGCTTTTCCAGAGCACCAAGAAAGGCATTAACATCCTTGGCCCTCGAAAACCCAATGTTTTTGGCAAGGTTGAGTGCTGTTGTGTCTGCTACACTGAACAAATAGTTGCAGATTTTATCCTTAGTCTCAGCCATTATGGGATCAATGTCTCCTGAGCCACCTGCTCTGCTTTCTTCTCCTTTGATCTCAAAAGTTGGAGCTGTATGACAAACCCTGTGGTCAGCAGGGCTTCTTTCTCTCCCTGCAACTGGGTAGGCAATCCTCCACAGCGGCGGCGTTTCTTCACCTTTGTGCAGCTTGCCTTCTCTGAGCAGTTTATACAAAACACGATTGACTTCTTTCTTTTGAGTTTTAAGTTTACGTACAAGATCATAAACTGTACAAGTCTTCCCCTTCCCAAGCTGCCTGAAAATAGTCAGAATTTCTTCTTCACGACTTTGCCCAGCAAGAGATAGTCTCTGGAAATTCAGCCTGATGGTGTCAGAATCTCCTTCTGAGTTCTGACAGCGGTACTGAGGAGGGCAGTAACGTGGTAAAGTTCCTACACACTGGCTCTTTTTGGAGGCTCTAGGCCATCTTGTTTCGTTGCAGCTGACTTGCCATCTCTCTGTAGAAACCAGTGCCACAGCTTGCAAGCCTCCGGCGTGTGGTTCACAGAGCAATCTCTGTCCCTGAAGTAAGTAGACAGGAGCTTCAGTGACCTGGCCTGTTAGGAATTGCCTCTGCTGGTTTAGAAAGATGTCCCGTTTATTTCCTTGTGGGGCAAGAGGCGGGTTAGAAAAACCTTGATTAGCGCTGGACCAGTTACGTCTTGAATGGGTAGAATACGAGCCCTTGCCTCGACCAATGCCTCTGTTCATAGCGCACTGCTGGAATGCAAGGATGAATCGGGCTGCTTGCACACCAGAAGAAGGGTGGCCGTGATTCACTCTTCACTCTCAACTCCTGAAGAGAGGCCTGCTAGAAAGAAAAAGCAGGAATTCAGAACCTGTACACGTGATTACAGGAGTCTAGAAATGCAATTTAGCCAGCTCCCTTGCTACCAAGGCATTTCAACCACCTTCACCTCTTCAATATTTTCCTTCCTTCTAGCAAGTCTAATTCGTTCATACGAACACAAACGGCAAACTATGTGTCTGCCCAGCATAAACGCAAGCCATCAGGAATCACAGGTGAACTTAACTACAAGAAACAGCTTTAATAAGAGACGCTAACCCTTCATTCTTGTTGGGCTGAATTTCAAGCCAACTGCACAGAGATGATTTTATTTGTCTTTTCATGATGCCTTCTGTCTAAGAGTCACAATGTGCTTCCAAAGTACGAGGGAGTTTTATGTCTCAGCCCTCAGAGAAGCAAGAATCACAGATACACTTTGCATATAGAGAAAGAGAGGCACAAGGACATGAAGCAGCGTGCAGGCACACGGAAGGGAACAGGGCTGCAACAGGCTCAGAAACAATGTCAGACTCACGACTGAAAGTCTGAAACCCCAAATGTCCTTTCCTTCCTGGACAGCGTGTGACCTATGAAGTCTCACACAATGGGATAAGTAAAGTGATAACATACAGAGAAATTGGATAGGTTTCCAATTGGTAACGGCATGAAAAGTCTTTCAGGAGCATAAACCAAATTTTCTCACATCGCTGACAGGCGTGCCATCCCCCAGAACTACAGGGGATGGGGTATAAGCTTAATGTGCTTTAAAAAAAAAAAAAAAAAACACAGGATATGTTCTAGCCCTTCAGCAACAATTGAATATGAAACTCAGCGGACACAAACATGCATCCGATACCTTCTTCTAGGCATCCTATCCTACCTTTTTCCAGGTGACCTGTTTAAGTCACCTATCTTCATAAAGAGATTACCGTGATAATGTAAGAGGAGCTTCGCAGCCAGATGCTAAGTGCGATCGATAGGTGGAAGGTAAGAGAACCAACAGTCAAACGGCCAAAACGAGGAGAGAAACAAGGCAGGCTGCAAGCCAACTAGTTACCTCCTGAAAACGACCGAACACTGGAGCAGCCCAAATGCCTGTAAAGGCTACTCTGCGCGCAGAACCAAACAAAGCTCAAGGCCAGGCTCCAGTCTCACCACCCCCACTGCTTTTACCCATCCAAGCGGCGGAGCTGCCACGGGCGCAGGAAGTGAGGAAATTAGGAAGCAGCACCCAGGCCCTCCCCACGGAGCTAAGCTTAAAAGCAACCCCCCGGGCCACCCAGGACACCGAAAACCGCGGGGGCAGCGAACGGGGGTTTTCACGACCGCTCTTACCTCCCTTCGGTCCATTTATTTTGTTAGAAAACGGGGA